TGACGGGGGTGGGGGGGTGGGGGGGGTGTCACACACCTGGCCCGGGGCACACCTGGACACAGGGGTGAGCATCCCACTGCTGAGATGGGCCAGTGGGGCTGGGTGGCTGGGCTTGGGTGGGCCCTGACCTGAGCCCTGGCTCCAGGCCAGCCAGCTCCGCACACGCACAGTGAGGGGCACGAGGGGGCCTGTCTGGGAGGAGACGCTCACCTACCACGGCTTCACGCTTCAGGATGCCAGGCGCAAGACCCTGCGGTGAGGACCTGGCTGACCCTGTGGTTCGGGCACCATGGTGGCAGTGGGGCCGTCACAGGGCAGGGCGGGGTGGGGCTTGCCCTGGCCAGGTCTGACGGGGCGGCCCTCCAGGCTGTGCGTGTGTGAGGACCCACGGCTTCGGCGGCGCCGGCATGCGCCTCCCCTGGGGGAGCTGCGGGTGCCCTTGAGGAAGCTGGTGCCCAACCGCGCACGAAGCTTTGACATCTGTCTGGAGAAGCGAAGACCGGTGAGCGGGGCTGGCATGCGGGGGGGCTGCCGGGCTGGAGGCCTGGGGGAGGGGTGGCTTAGCGGCTAGGGGAGCTGAGTCAGGATGAGCAGGGAGGGTGGCCTGGGCAGTGTCTCGTCAAGGTGACAGGGCTCTCTGCTTTTCAGACCAAGAGGCCCAAGAGCCTGGACACAGCCCGCGGCATGTCCCTGTATGAGGAGGTGGGTCTGCGCAGGCTCAGTAAGCCAGACCACGGGGGCCACGCTGAGGTGGGCCGGGCCGGGAGGGGCCATTCAGGTTGGGGGAGTCTGAGGCCATCTTTGCCACTGTTCCTGTGAGCCCTGGAGGTCTGGGGAACAGCTGACCAGGTGAGGGTGACTCTGGGGGAGCACGCGGCACTGACACAAGTAACAGAACCCACAGAAGACAGAGCGCAGGGCCACCTGAGCACAGACCGGGCAGCGTCTGGGAGCCACTGAAGCTGGCGGTGCCTGTCCCTCCTGAGCTGGGAGAGGTGGACAACGTCGACAGGACAGGATAGAGACAGGGCTCGCTGGCTGCTGGGTCTGCCAGGGTCAATGTAGCTGCCACTTCTGGGCTGGCAGTGGGGGGTGGCTGCAGGGCCTGCCGTGGTTGTGGTCGTATCAGAAATTAGAGACCTGCCAGATCCCCTGTGGCTGGGCAGGGAGAGGCACAGGAGGGTGAGGGAGGGCCCTGCACGCCTGGTCTCCTCGAGGGCTAGGTGCTGCTGCCCCCTAGTGATGCCACAAGCTGCTGCAGCCAACAGTCCAGCCCACTGAGCATCCGGTGGTACCGGGTCCTGCCTCAGGCCCCATGCAGCATCCTGGCCCCCAGTGTGCCTTTATCCACTGCTGTGAGCAGGGTGGCCAGGCTCTTTGCAAACCGAATTCTGCTTTAGATGTAAAGAGGGGGCACGTCCTCCCAACATCTCATTCTGGGGAGACCAGGGACCAGGGGGTGGCCAGGACACCTGGATGGAGGAAGCAAAGTGGGTGGGAGTGGAAGTGATGTGGGGCTGCTGCACGGGAAGCAGCCTCTCCCCGTGGTGGTCATGACTCGGCTGGAGGGTGGGGGGAGGGGCACTCAAGGGGAGGCCACTTGGCGGCTCCTGTCCTGGCACTCAGAGACCACCAGTGTTTGTACCCCTCCGGCCCCAGAGGCACAGGTGACCCTGAAGGCCCCGGGCCAGTGACTGCCTTTGGAAACTGAGTCACGAAACTCTTGGTCCCAGATGTCTTTGCATCTGGTTGTCTTTCACACCTGGGTCCTGGGCGGGGGCAGGTGGTGGCTGGGGGCTGACTGCACCTGTCCGCAGGAGGCAGCGGAGGCGGAGGCCGGGGAGGAGCGGGGGCGTATCCTGCTGTCACTCTGCTACAGCTCCCGGCGGGGTGGCCTCCTGGTGGGCGTGCTGCGCTGTGCCCACCTCGCCCCCATGGACGCCAATGGCTACTCAGACCCCTTCGTCCGCCTGTGAGTGCGGGCATGGGGACCACGCGGGCAGGGAGGGCAAGATGGGCCCTCAAACCGGCCAGGCTGCCCTCTCAGGCCACCTCTGACCTGACCCCGTCCTCCCACCAGTGTTCTGCATCCAAACGTGGGGAAGAAATCGAAGTACAAGACCAGTGTGCGGAAGAAGACCCTGAACCCCGAGTTCAATGAGGTCAGCCCAGAGGGGAGCAGTCCTGCTGCTGAGCAGTAAAGGGTGGGGGCCAGCGCCCCCCGGCCCGGCCCGAGCCCCCTTCCTACTCTGGCCTTCCCTGCAGGAATTCTTCTACGCAGGCCCCCGGGAGGAACTGGCTCAGAAGACACTGCAGGTGTCAGTGTGGGACTATGACCTGGGCACAGCTGACGATTTCATTGGTGAGAGTGTGTGTACGTATGGGGGGGCACGACAGAGCGCTCCCTGCCAACCCCCGACCTGTCCCTCCACACCAGGCGGGGTGCAGCTGAGTAGCCGCGCCAGTGGGGAGCGCCTGTGGCACTGGCGTGAGTGCCTGGGCTGCAGTGACCGCCGGCTGGAGCTGTGGCACCCGCTGGACGGCGTGCCCCTCCAGCTTAGCGACTAGCCCGGTCCGGCCCTGGCCCTGCTCGCCGATCCACTCTTGTCCCTGACCGTCGCTGTCTCCAAGGAACCGGGAGGAGCCTGGGGCTGCCGCGCTCACCTTCTGCCCCCTCTCTGGCCCACCACACGCAGCCCCTGGTCAAAGAGGGGGTCCCCCCCCTTAAGTTTACCCACCACTCAACCATGTAACAAAAATAAACATCTGCTCCAAGCCAGACCAGATGGAGCCTGTCCTTTCCATGCCGTGGGCAGGCCACAGCCCCTGCCAAGTGCCTCACAGGGCTCACCGGGCTCCACCTTGTCCCTACCCTGAGGCCTGCATTGGCCAGGCCCAGGTATGGACCTCAGGCCACAGAGATTGGGAGTCACTCTCCAGGCCCCGTTTCCTGTACCGAGGGGACAGTGTTCAGCATGGCTTAGGGCAGACTCACTGTAACCCTGATTGACCTTCCCTGGCCTGTCTCCACCAGGGAAAGGCCCACAGGAGTGAAGGGCAGGGGTGACGGGGACGAGGGGTGGAGAGCAAAGCCAGAGACATGCAACAGATAAGAGACAGCATTCCCTTTATTGGCGGCTCCCCCATCAGACGGCCAGTGGCAGTGGGCTCATGAGGCGGCCTGCCGGGCCTGGTGCTGCTGGGCAAACCGCTGCATCCGCCCCTCGAGCTCGGGCCGGAAGTGTCGGATCAGGCCCTGGGGGAGGGTACAGTGTGAGGCAGCTCGAAGCCCTCGACCCCTGGGCTCCCCCAACCCCAGGGCCAGCTGCCAGCAGCACAGACCTGCACAGGCCAGGCGGCCCCGTCGCCCAGGGCACAGATGGTGTGGCCCTCGATCTGCTTGCTGATCTCCCACAGGGAGTCGATCTCAGCTGGCCGGGCATCGCCCCGCACAAAGCGTGCCATCACCTTGTTCATCCAGTCCACACCTGCAGCCAGGTGGCGAGAGGGGTCTCATGGTCTCCCCGGCCACAGTGTGGGGGTGGCTCTCTATGGGGGTGCACCACAGGGGAAAGTGTGGGGCTATGAGAAGCCCCCCGGCAGGCTGGGAGGCAGCAGCTGTTTGTCCCGGGGCCGGAGGCTGGCCCACCCTTGCCCTGTGCCCGACCAGGGTGCGGGGTGGGACAGAGGGCAGGCCCCGGTGGCCCGGGCGCTCACCCTCACGGCACGGGGTGCACTGGCCACAGCTCTCATGCTTGTAGAACTCAATGAGGCGGGCAATGGCTTTCACAACGTCTGTCTGGGGTGACAAGGGCCAGTGAGCAGGTGCCGAGGCCAGGGAGGAGCCTGCAGCCAGCCCGGCCCGGGCTCCAGATCCCCCCAGCACCCCAGTGTTCTCTGGCCCCTCCACGCTCCCCACACATCCTGCACGACCCAGCCACCACTGGCACACCCTGGGCTTTTAGAGAAGCCCAGAAGGGGACGCCAGCCGGGCAGACATGGGCACGGGCAAGCTCACCGAGCGGTCCATGACGATGACCGCGGCCGTGCCCAGGCCCGTCTGCGCCTGCACCAGTGCATCGAAGTCCATCAGCACCGTCTCACACACGGACTTGGGGATCAGTGGGGTGGACGAGCCACCAGGGATCACGGCCAGGAGGTTGTCCCATCCACCTGCGACACCCCCTGCAGCCCCGGCGGGTCCCCCAAAGGATAAGTCAGTGCTGGGGTCAACACACCCCCCAGCCTTGAGCCTGGACCCGACCTCTGTCAGCACGCTGTCCTGAGGCCCCCGCCCAGCTCTCTTCAAGGACCTGTGCCTCCCCATCCCCCGTGTCCCTCCCACCTGCCTGGCCCCCTGCCCTACCCGCGTGCTTCTCAATCAGCTCCTTCAGTGGCACAGACATTTCCTCCTCCACGGTGCAAGGGTGGTTGACGTGGCCGGAGATGTTGAAGAGCTTGGTGCCCGAATTGCGCTCGCGCCCGAAACTGGCAAACCAGGCGCCCCCACGGCGGCAGATGGTGGGGGACACGGCCACCGTCTCCACATTGGCAACAGTGGTGGGACAACCAAACACTCCTGCAGGGAAATGAGCAGAAACCACTGGGTAGGAGATGGAGCAGGCGGGGCAGGGCCCCACTCCCATGCCAGGAACCCCTGCCCTCTCTTCCCCTCCTCACTCTTGTCCCCGCTGGACCACCCCCCATCCCCTCCTCACTCTTGTCCCCACTGGACCCCCCTTTTTTCCTCCTCTTCTTTGTCCCCTCTGG